TTATCGGTCGACAAAATGATAATGATGAGAAAGAAATTAAATTAAATACAAGCAAGTAGTAGTTAGCAAGTTTGTTTTTTCAAAAGATTTTTCCTTCTTGATCAATAATAAAGATAAGTGGATTTTTTTTCTGTTTGGTGACCGGTCAATAAAAAATTTCTGCTTGGTTTTGATTTTATTTACATCTAATTTGGTTGGTGACATGATGATGATTTTTGGATGTTTTGAAAATTTATTGGTCATTCGACGACTACGACGACGATTGATGATCGTCGAACGAACGAACGAAAAAGACAACTGATAAGGTAATGATGATTTTTTTATTGAAATTTTTTTTTATTTTTAAATTAAATTAAATTAATAATAATTACACAGGTTGGCGTCAATTGATTGATTGATTGGCGAAATATCGAAAAAGGAAAATGTTTTTCGGGCGACAAGATTGTACTGATTAGAGTATCATATATACGGAATTTATGAATGTGTGTTTGTGTAGTTCAGTTTCTATTTTTACTTTGCTAAGAAAAAGAAAAATTTACAACAAATGTTAAAATAGTTAGCGATAATGGGTTAATATGAGCTGTTTGTGTATATCAATAAATCGAATCAAATCAATCAATCATTTATTGGATCAAATAATGAATAAAGTAGGAATTATAAGGGAATTTCTCTTCTTCTGCTGCTAAATTGAATTGGACATTATTTAGGATCGAAAAAAACAAAAAATCAAAAATCAATGTTTGGACTCTCGAAAATGGCACACCCTAATTGATTAAATTAAAATTTTAAAATTTTTTTTCGAATGAAATCAATAGATATTGGAGAGATAGAGAGATTGTAGTTGATTGATTGATCAATCAATCAATCAATCAAAGAGATCGGTAGTTGAATTAAGTAGTGGCTGCAATACTTTGCTGCTGTTGTCCATTGTTGTTGTTGTTATTTTGTTGTTGTTGTTTCGATTGTTGTTGTTGTTGTTGTTTTGATTGTTCCAAACCATCAACCATTAATTGAATATTTTTCAATTCTTTTAATGATTCTTTAACTGATGGACTTTTATCAATAGTATTATTATGATGATTATTCATAAATGACGTTATCGATGCGGTTGAGGATGCGGATGATGTTGATGATGATGATGGTGATACTGGTTGCGACGATGTATGTTGTTGATGTTGATGATGATGACTACTACGTATAATACTATTCGGTGTACTTGTATTACTACATCGACCATCTAATTGACCACCACCGCCACCAACACTACCATTACTTGAATTTGATCTAGATAATATTGGTGATGATGGACAATTCATTGATGAGGTATTTTTTGACTGTTTTTTTTGTTGTTGATAATCAAGATTATCATTATCATCACTTCTAGGACTAATGGCTAATTTATTATTATCAAGATTAAAATGATTTGCTGCTGCTGTTGTTGACAATCGATTCGAATCGATACTACCGATACCTAATTCGCCCATCATTTGTCCATTTTGAATTTGATTATTGCATTGTGATAAAAATGGACGAATACCATATGGAAAGAATCTTGAACTATGATTTGTTATCAATGATGATGGTAAATTTGCGGTTGTTGCGGTTGCTGACGTTCCTTTAAAACG